GGGGGGTCTCCCCCCTTCCCACGCCCCACGGACGACCTGGAGACGCGCAGGGGGTCGGGGGAGAGGGGACGCCGCCCACACAGGGAGGGAGAAAAGGCCCGTCTTCCGCCGGCTTCCGAACGTTCGAGAGCAACTCGGTTCAGGGTTCCAGGGGGGAGGGGGAGAGGGCGACTGGAAACGCTGCGCGTTGAAAGACGGAGCTCAGATTTAAAGCAATCAGGCTCACTGCTTTAACTCAGCGAGGGATGCCTTTTTAAAAGCCATTCCGTGAGTTAAAAGCTCGTTAATATAGGTTTTAAAGAAGTCTCTTAGGACATTTTAAAAACTCAATTTAAATGCTTTAAAAATGTTAATTGTATCCTACTTTAAACCCAAGCCAGTGTTTCTGCGGACTGGGAAAGCTTCAGGGGCAAGTCCCTTAAGCAGAGTGTGTACAGAGTGCCTTGTGGAGGCGCGCGCGCGTGTGTGTGTGCGTGTGTGTGTGTGTAGTGTGGTGTGTGTGTGTGCAGTGTGGTGTGTGTGCAGTGTGGTGTGTGTGCAGTGTGGTGTGTGCGCAGTGGTGTGTGGTGTGTGTGCAGTGTGGTGTGTGTGCAGTGTAGTGAGTGTGCAGTGGTGTGTGTGTGCAGTGTGGTGTGTGCAGTGTGGTGTGTGTGCAGTGTGGTGTGTGTGCAGTGTGGTGAGTGTGCAGTGTAGTGTGTGTGCAGTGTGGTGAGTGCAGTGTGGTGTGTGTGCAGTGTGGTGTGTGTGCAGTGTGGTGAGTGTGCAGTGTGGTGTGTGTGCAGTGTGGTGTGTGCAGTGTAGTGAGTGTGCAGTGTAGTGAGTGTGTGCAGTGTGGTGTGTGCGCAGTGGTGTGTGCAGTGTGGGGTGTGTGTGCAGTGTGGGGTGTGTGCAGTGTAGTGAATGTGTGCAGTGTGGTGAGTGTGCACTGTGGTGAGTGTGCACTGTGGTGTGTGTGCAGTGGTGTGTGCGGTGTGTGGTNCAGTGGTGTGTGCAGTGTGGTGTGTGCGCAGTGTGGTGTGTGCGGTTTGTGATGTGTGTGCAGTGTGGTGTGTGTGCACTGATGTGTGCACAGTGTGGTGTGTGTGCAGTGGTGTGTGCAGTGTGGTGAATGTGCAGTGTGGTGTGTGTGCGCAGTGTGGTGAGTGTGCAGTGTGGTGTGTGCACAGTGTGTGGTGTGTGCACAGTGTGTGGTGTGTGCGCAGTGTGGTGAGTGTGCAGTGTGGTGAGTGTGCAGTGTGTGGTGTGTGCGCAGTGTGGTGAGTGCGCAGTGTGGTGAGTGCAGTGTGTGGTGAGTGTGCAGTGTGGTGTGTGTGCAGTGTGGTGTGTGCGCAGTGTGGTGTGTGCGCAGTGTGTGGTGTGTGTGCAGTGTGTGGTGTGTGCGCAGTGTGGTGAGTGTGCAGTGTGGTGTGTGTGCAGTGTGTGGTGTGTGCGCAGTGTGGTGAGTGCGCAGTGTGGTGTGTGTGCAGTGTGTGGTGTGTGCGCAGTGTGGTGAGTGTGCAGTGTGGTGTGTGTGCAGTGTGTGGTGTGTGCGCAGTGTGGTGAGTGTGCAGTGTGGTGTGTGTGCAGTGTGTGGTGTGTGCGCAGTGTGGTGAGTGTGCAGTGTGGTGTGTGTGCAGTGTGTGGTGTGTGCGCAGTGTGGTGAGTGTGCAGTGTGGTGTGTGTGCAGTGTGTGGTGTGTGCGCAGTGTGGTGAGTGTGCAGTGTGGTGTGTGTGCAGTGTGTGGTGTGTGCGCAGTGTGGTGAGTGTGCAGTGTGGTGTGTGTGCAGTGTGTGGTGTGTGCGCAGTGTGGTGAGTGTGCAGTGTGGTGTGTGTGCAGTGTGTGGTGTGTGCGCAGTGTGGTGAGTGTGCAGTGTGGTGTGTGTGCAGTGTGTGGTGTGTGCGCAGTGTGGTGAGTGTGCAGTGTGGTGTGTGTGCAGTGTGTGGTGTGTGCGCAGTGTGGTGAGTGTGCAGTGTGGTGTGTGTGCAGTGTGTGGTGTGTGCGCAGTGTGGTGAGTGTGCAGTGTGGTGTGTGCGCAGTGTGTGGTGTGTGCGCAGTGTGGTGTGTGCGCAGTGTGGTTAGTGTGCAGTGTGTGGTGTGTGCGCAGTGTGGTGAGTGTGCAGTGTGGTGTGTGTGCAGTGTGTGGTGTGTGCGCAGTGTGGTGAGTGTGCAGTGTGGTGTGTGTGCAGTGTGTGGTGTGTGCGCAGTGTGGTGAGTGTGCAGTGTGTGGTGTGTGTGCAGTGTGGTGAGTGTGCAGTGCGTGTACACGTATGTCCCTGTGCTGGAGAATGAAATAAGCAACGTGCCCCGTTCAGTACAAAACATCAAACGGGTACTGACTTGTACGCTTAAATTTCAAAATCTGTAATTCTACCAATGCTCTCTGTATTTTTAAAGTATGAACTGCCTTCCGTTTACAAAGGTAAAGCTGAGCAAACAGAAGCCGCGCCGGCAGAATTAACCCGGCTCGCCTCAGGACGACGCGTTGCGTTCATTTAGCACCGACAGGGATTCGCTTAGTCACGCGCCTCGCGGCCGTGGCGGCGGTTCCGGGGCCAGT